ATCATCATCATCATCATCTATCCCATTCGTCTATATTTGTTTTCGTTTCGTTTTTAGTCTTCTTTTTATTTCATTTCGTTGAAACCCAAACTTGTAGTTTTCTAATTAAAAAATTATATGGAAAATAATAGCTTCCTTCTCCGTTTCATTTTCATTTTCATCTCTTTTCTTTTTTTTTTAATGTACTTTTGACCGACTCATTGTCACATAATTAACACTTGATATAGCAATTACCAGTTTTTTCGGTTTTTTCGGTCTTTTCCCTCCAGTTTTTCTCTTTTTTTCTTTTTGTTTGGTTGAAAAATGTGCAAAGAACTATCGAATTTCATGGCGGTTTTTTTGGTGGGCAGGAAATGTGCAAGGATTTGTATCGGAAGTGCGTCCTGGCTGCCACACAATAATATCGCAAAAATATCTCGGGTCCTTGCTTCATTTTTTTCTTCTTAGGAGGAACTCTTGAGATTATTATCGCCTTGGTTGCTATTTTTTGAGGTTTTCTTTATTCCGTTTTATTCCCTTTTTTGTGGTAATTATTGGAGGAGGGCTTGTTGAAATTGGTGCGATTGATTTTCAATTGAAAAAGGACACGCGCGACAAGGGAAAATTTTAGAGAGAAAGATTTGTAAGGGAAATAATTAATTTTTATACTTAAAAATATCCTAGTTTATTTATTTATAATTTAAATGAGCTTAAACCTAATTTGAAACATTTTTTATTATATATTTATATTTTAAAGAATTAATGCAGGAATTTTTATAGAAGATAATAATAATAAAATAAAAAAATAAATTTTGAAAAGATTTACAAATTAAATGTCTTTTCCAATTATTTAAATGAGCTTAAACCTAATTTGTCATATTTTTTAAAGAATTTATACGGATATTTTATAATATTTTTTTTTTTTTTTTTTTACAAAAATTTAAAAATAAATAAATAAATATATTTATTTTTCTATGAACAAATTTCTACAAATTAAATGTCTTTTCCAAGTATCTAAAAAAAAACCCGAATAATTCGATTTTAAATACCCTAAACGATTTACTTTAATTCCAAAAAATTCTGAATCAATTCTAAAAGAGACTAAATACTTTTTCACACATTCATGGCTCATCCGCGGTAATCATCTCCTACTTTTTTCTGAAGGGAAACCCAATTAGGGAAACCAATTTGTCTGCAATTATTTGCCATTAAGACAAAATCCACTTGGCAGAGCACAGGGGACGGGGACTCTAACCATGACTAACACAATGGCCAAGAAAAAAAAAAGAGGCGCTGACAACGAAATGGCTCACAAGAACACGACTCATCCAGAGGTCCCAGATGTGTAAAGAAAAATAATAACAAAAAAATAGAGAGTATAAAAAAAGAAAGAAAAGAAAAGAAAGCAAAATAGTTTGGCGGGCATTTTACACCGAAGACAGCGATACGGGACAAAAGGACACAACATACGCCAAGGATCTGAAGAGAGTCTCGGGTAAATATTTATTAGAGCCGAGGTGAAAGGAGGCAACAAGGATGACGCTCTCCTCAATGGCCACTCAAATTAAGGCTAACAACGTGCAGCAGCAGCAACAGCAGCAGCAGGAAAGTAGCAATTTTCCTGGAGAAAAGGAAAGGAAAATTGAAAGGATGCTGCTGCTCCTGTCCCAGCTGCGGTTAACCACTCGAGTCGATTTATTTTGTACACAATTTGCCACGAAAACTAACGCCCCGTGTCCCTGAGATCCCAGGATCATCCAAGGAGCACAAAAAAAAAAAAAAAAAAAGGACACGCTGCGCCATTTGTTGCCTTTTTTACAGCTCACAGGAGCTGCCCCTAAGAGCCCCGGGCTGCTGCTCCTTGCTACTCCTTGCTACTCCTGCTGTTGTTGTGCAAACAAAGTGCGAACGGACCTTCGGCAAATAGACCACGGATAAGCAGGGTCCTGGTCCTGGACCTGGACCTGGTCATGGGCATGACTAACAAGAACACGCTCTTTGGAATAAGAGTAGCAAAAGATGCACAAGTGTGCAGGGAGAGAAAAGTCCTGAGAAAAATCTAGGAAAATATATTTAAAAGTTTAGAGATGCAGAATTTTATACCATAAAATGTATAATATTTAATGTAAAATATTTTATAAAATATATAAAGTATTTTTTATTTATTTTTTGTATAAAAGTTCCATGACTTTCCCCACATTTCTAGCTGATAAAGTCCTAAAAATCCAAAAAAATCAAGGAAAATATATTTAAAAGTCTGGAGATTAAGAATTGTAACCCATAAAATTTATAATATTTAATGTAAAATATTTTATAAATATCTAAAATATTTTTTATTTATTTTTTGTTTAAAATTTCCATGCCTTTTCACCACATTTCTCGCTGTGTACAGACTAGATAAAGACCAAGTGGCTGGCAACAGCTCCCGGAAAGGTCAACAGTGACAATGACAATGGCGGAATGACTGAATGACAAACCAAGAAACCGAACCGAAACGAAACGAAGAACCAAAACCACACAACGGGAATGACGACAAATAAACAGATGTAAAGTGTGAAAATTTAACAAATTAAGTGCGTGTAACTCTCGGATACAATTGTATCTTTGTGTGTGGAGAAAATGTGCGGAAAAGAGATGGGCAATTCAGGTGAAAATATGCTGTGTGTGGGGGCGTGGCTATTTTAACTGGGAAATTGAGATCTAAGGAAGGTGAAGGAGACAACGACAACGACGACGACGACATGTGTGAGAATAACACTTTTAGAATAATATTGCCACAAAGTAAACAACTTAAGATGTGGCTTAGGAAATGTGGCTAAAAAGGGGGCTCATGCTTTTGACAAATTAATAGGATTTTTTGAAGATATATTTTAGTGGAAATAAAGAAAAATGAAGGGGAAAGAGTCTATTATTACTATAATATTTTTTTGTTAATTTCGGGAAATTTAGGAAATTTTATATTTAATATAATTGAATAGTTTTAAGAAATGTAAATTAAAGAAAATTGTTCGAAATTTTCTCTAATTACATTTCTTAAAATTATTAAATATTTTAATTTTTAAAATTTTCAGCTATTTTCTTTAATTTAAATTTCTTAACATATAATTTTATTATAAATAAATAAGGTTAATATAGGTTTTAATGAAACATCTTTTCTGTAGCTTTTAATATCTTTCCCTGAAGCTCCACTGGCTATCATATTTTTTTTGTTGTTATAATGGATGCTCGTGCTAAGTGGAGTTTGCTAATTTCACTGAAAATTATTCGCTTAATTAGCGATACACACACACACACACACATCGACTCTGAAATCGTGTCCCGAGTGAAGTGTGTGTGAGATTTCACACTTTGCTGACAGGATGGCTGCCGCCGCCTCCCGATTCCTGCTCATCCTCCTGCTTTTGTCTGAAAGCTCACTGAGCGAATAAAATCAAGTGGTATTATATATTTTTGGATTTTTAAAGAAATGTATACTAAAAAATCTTAGAGAATATATTTTTTAAGGCTTTAAAATTGAAAAACTAGAAGTTCTAGTAAGAAAATTCTTTACCAAATAAATATTAGTTTTTTGAGACTTAATTTCTGCCTGTGTACTGGTTTTATTAATAAGCTCGGACCCGCCAACCCTCCCTTAAGCCGTGTGCTTAATCGTGTCGTTTCATTGTTTTAACTCCGATGAGAGGACGCAACTCAATTGCTCAACTCAACCCCTTTGAGCTTATTAGCAGCGCCTACGGGTGGGCACAGGACCAGGCACAGGACACAGGACACAGGACACAGGGAAGCTGGCTGCTAAGGCATCACTGTATATAGTATAGAATACGGTATATGAATTTATGCGGAGAATACGGAGACAGATGCGGTTGCCACTTGGCTGCACCCGTTCATATGCAGATGCCACAGAGAGAGAGAGAGGGTCCTGGTCCTGTAGACCGTTCTTCCCCCTCTCGGTGGTAATTAGCCTCCTGTTTTTATATTTTTCCTTTGTGATGCCTCATTCGAAGCAACTCACTTGCAAGGTGCACAAGGAATGTGCTTTCAAAAAGCCACCGATTTTGTATAAAAGACAATGACAGTTGAGGGAACTAAGGACTGAATTCTAGGTTTATATGAAGGAATAAGTAAAGGATTCTAAAAAACAATGTAGAACAATCTAGTTAAATTTAAAATGGGAATTAGAATTGGAATAATTCATTGGAAAGCTCATTGAAAAGTTCAATATTTCCTTATATATTTTTTATCTCTTAAGGTTTTATATAAGATTTATGATATAAGATATATAAGATATATTTAAAATACAAATTTAATATAATTTAACCATTATTATCTATATTTTTTAATATATAAATGTCATTTGATAAATCTATTAAAATATATATTTATAAGGTATCCCGAAAACAATATTTTCAGGCTTTTAAAATATCTCTTAAAAATTGCACAGACTTGGTTTTAAATTATTTACATACTTTTAGTAAAGTTAAATATTATATAATATATTTTTAGTTTATTTATATTGTTAAATAAGTTTTTAAAATTCTTTAAAAATTAGTTTTAAAAATTCTTTATAAATTAGTTTGAAATTTTTTTTACATATTTTGATTTTAAAATCTTGTTAATCTTGTTGTTTTTAAATTTTTTCATACTTAGTAAAGTTAAATATTTTATAAAACATATTTTTTACTTTATTTATATTTCAAAATTAGTTTTAAAGTTCTTTAAAAATCTATATTTAAACAATTCTGAAAAATAACTTGCATTAAAATTTCAGAAAAGCTAATTATCCCCTTTGGAAATATATACATATTTTTTATTTATTTATTTAAAAACCAACAATTGAAATCAAGAGCTAGCGATGGAGTTTTTATCCGTTTTTTTTTTTTAGTAAATACCTCAAAACTCATATTTTGAAAACAATTCCAACAGATTTAAGGTTTAGCAACTGATTTTTAAACCAATCCTTTCCCAAAAGTGATTCCCTTTTTTTGAAAAACGTTTTAATCTAAGACTCTTTATGGACTCACCTGCAAACTGGGCGCCAAAGTGCTGCTGAAAGTGTCCCCGGAACTCGTGCGGCGTGCTAAAGCCGGGCGGCAGGAAGCCCCTCAGATAGGCCGCCGCCGCCAGGGTGGTCATGTGATGATGATGGGCGGCAGCAGCATTGCCCGGATCCGCGGCGGCCGCATAGCCGGCGGCGGCATAAAAGTTGGCCGGATTGAAAACGGGCAGCTGGCAGTGGGCGGCTGCTGCAGCCGCAGCAGCTGCTGCGGCCGATAGTCTGGTCACATCGGGCGACAAGGATCGCGAATCCCGCAGGCCTTCCAATTGCTCACGTTCCCGTTCCCGCTGCTCCCTCTGCTGTTGCTGTCCGGCGGCAACGGCTGCAGCGGCGGCGATCGTGGAATTTAGCTGGAGGGGCGTACTCGCCGGCGGTGGTGGGGTGGCTGCCGGTGAGGGTGGCGCCTCCGAGGGCGTGGCATTGCCACTGGCCCCACTTTGCTGCTGGTAGGCGCCCAGGCCAAGGATTTCCTGGATGGCGAAGGGCGTTCGCATTTTGGTGGCCTGCATTTCCTTTTTATTTTTTGCCGACGGCTTTCTTCGGTCACTGTAAAGGTCGATAATGTGGTTCTTCCAGTGTTCGTGGCCGCTTTTCTTTCCAACTTCCAAAAGTTAACTTATTGCACTTTCATTGCAAGGCAGCAAATGGCAGCGGCAGTGCACTGGCAGCAGCTATAGTACACACACACACACCCATATATATACGCATAGATACTCGCGAACGGCACACTGGAAAAAAACGTGTTCACTTCTTCACGCACTTTTTGTGGGGGGGAGTGGGCTTTTAGCTATTTTGGCTCTTTGATTTTGATGCGTGTTTTTGTTGTTGTTGTTACTACTTGTTACTACTATTGTTATTAAATATGGTTTCGTGCGTGAGTTTCTCTGGGTTCTAGCAATTTTTTAACCAATTTTTTAACCGAACGCTGCGGCGTTCGAAAACTAACTGAAATTGAAAAGCGAACTGCACGCCAGCAAAAGCGTCGCGTCAGCGTCGGCGTTGGCGTTGGCGTTGACAGTTGCGTCGCTGCCGGCGTCGCAGTTAGCTCCCACACACGCTGTTGTAGCAACAAAAATTCTGCCCGCGTCGCTGTAGCAGCGGCCGCAGCGCCATCTTTGTGAGCGCAAGGGGGATGGCAAGGCGTAGAAGGCCCATGCAGTTGTCTTGCTCGCACTGTTCGAACTTCCAATGGAGAGGGGTAACGTTCAGGCCATTTCACTTGCTCTCACTGCCGGCCCATAGCACTTTCTCTTTTTGCACTGGAAGTCGGCTCACGGACAGTGTAAACACTATGCGTGAGAGCTGGCTGGTTGTGCGTGTGTGTGTGTGTTAATTAAACGCCGTTTGCATTTCGCATCGAGATTTTCGGTTTTTCGATTTCAGTTTGTTTTGCAACTCCAAGCTGCTCCATGTCCCATATGTGTGTGTGTGTGTGTATGAGTGTGTGTGTTTGCGGGCTGTTTTTTTTTTTTTTTTTTTTTTTTGTGTGATTAAGTTAATTTATATATATTTTTTTTGGTTTTTAATGTTTATTTAGTGGGTGAATAAAAAAATTTAGGCTGGGGAAAGGAGTTTGAAAGTTTCACACAAAAGAAATCCTTTGGAAACTGAAAGATTTCCCGCCAAAATGTTTTCAATAAGATCAAAAAAAATATATTTAAAATGTTTTTAAGTTTTTATTTTATTATTAATTAAATATACCTATTTATTTAGAATGTGGAATAATAATAAATTAATTTTTAATAATAATTTAGTTGCCAAAAAATACTGTTCTATTTTTTTGTTATATTTTAACTAATTATAGCTTTTGTTAAATAAATTCTTACTATAAATTTTTATAAATTTAAACTTTAATTGAAAAAGTTCCAAGTAAATTAGATTTTTTAGATTTCTAATATATTTTAAATTCTTCTCCCAAAATTAAAGACTCAAAAATAAAGTTGAAAAACTTAACTTACCAGAAACACCGCAAATTGTTCTTAACTAATTAAACTTTTAAAAGATGGAACGCACAGGTTGGAAATGGAAGTCACTCTCTCTGTCCTTTGCTCTCCCTCTATCCCTAGCTCTCTTGGGGCCTTTCTTTTCTCTCTGAAAGTTAAGTTTTTCCAGGCACTCTCCCCCCCACTTTTCCGCCATTTCCGCTTGCCGCTTTCCACGTTTGGCCCCAAATTGCGAGCATTGTTCAGGGCAAAGTTGGTCATGTTAATTAAGCCTCGCTCTCGCCCTCTCTCTTTCCCTCGGCTCTATGCCCGTCTCACTCTTATCGATTAGCTCGCTCTACCCCACTGTCCCTCTGTGTGTCCTTGTTGCCTTCTCACACTCTCTCTCTGAGCTGCACTTGCAAACATTAATTAGTCGCATTGCATAACAATTGCATAATCAATATGCCATTTCAATTAACTGCCTGGTTAGCAATTAGTCAATCCAAAGAAGCACCCAAAAGCCCCTCTCGAAATCAAACCAAAAACTATCCATTGAGCCACCCATTGAGCCACCCATTGGGGCACCCATCAAGCCACCCATTAAGCCACCCATTAAGCCACCCATCAAGCCACCTACTTATTAGGCTTTCCACAATTGCATACTATTTTTTGTTGTCTTAGCCACACTTTTGGCTTTATTTTTAAGTAATTAGCATTTAAACTGACTAAAACTACACAGGAAAAATTAAGAAAATTGATTTTTAATATAATTACTTAATTTATGATTTTGTTAAATTAGTTTAAACTTGTTAAACTGTATTGTAGAATTTTCATTAGGCTTTTAAGAGCCTTTTTTAAATATTAAAATCAAAGAATTTGTTGGAAATTTAATTATTAATAATTTGTTGCTTATAGAAATACTAAAAAATCTGAGATAAATATATATTTTAACAATTTATTCATTTAGATTGTATAATAAATATTTATAAATGTCTATATTAGGCTTTGTGATTGCTTCCACCTTCTTTCTAAAAAACCCTTTTTGGTACCTGCCTTTTGTTTTATATAAATTTTATATTTCAATACTTCAACTCTTATTTTATTTTAAAAAATCTTCTCTTTCATCTTCACAAGAACATTATTGAAACACATTAAAACTGACAATTTTGAAAGAGTGTGTCGTCGGTGTGTCCCCCCATCTGCATGACTTGAGAATCCGCTTTAATCTCCACAATCGCCGTCTCGAGTGGCTTTTCTCTTTATTTGTCTTAAGAGTGGGATCCAAAATGAAATAAATCTAATTGAGTGATTGTCGGGATGCAGTCACTAAATATATAAGGCTGTAAAAATTGAAATATAAGATAAAATATATTAAAAAATATGTATTTAAAGCTTAAACAATTTAAAAATGAATAAATAAAATCGTTTTAAAAATATAAAATTAAACAAAGAGTTGAAAATCCTTCCTTCCAAAATTTTCCAGTGTTTTCTGTATTTTTTATAATTATTTTAATAAGTTAAAAAATATATTAATTTCCTTTTAAAATTGCCAGAACATGTTTTACTTGAAATTTGCAATTTTTCTGGTGTTTTCTTTTATATATTTCCTAAAACACAAAAATCTTACCAAACCAATGAACCTTTCCAGGTGTTTTTTCTTATATTTTTTTTTTGGTCCCACTCTCCCTAGTTAATTGGTCCTGCCATACTCACACACACACACACACACAGGATGCCAGGGCAAAGTGGTCAGGACACAAAAAAATGTTCGACAAAAGGAATTTCCGTCTCGCATTGTCCTCAAGGAGCCTGGCATCGCACATTATATCCCATTTCCCATTTCCCATTTCATATTTATAATGTAATCTGCACTTGAGCCTCAAAGAGACGTCGCATAAATCACGAATATATGCGAATGGTGAAGGAGGTTTACTATTTGGATTCGTATTTCTAAGCTGAGACTACTTCTTGGACTTAAAAGCCTTTGTAATACTTGGAGTTTTTACTTATATATATATGAATATATATATTATATATATATATACATATTTTTTAAAATTCATTTCTGGCTCTGCCTTTTTTGTTTGATGTTCAACGGCCACTTGAGATGCATTTTGGTGGAACTTCAGCTTCTCCTGGGGTTCTCCTGAGGTGTGAGCTTTCCTTTGAATTTATTTCGATTATTGGTTGATTGATCCTTTGATCCCTGATATATATATTCGAGTATATACCGTATACTCATTAGGCTAAAAGCCTATTATTGTGGCCTTAACTAATTAACCCAAACGCCAGATGGCATCTGCCATCGATTGCACGAGGTTTTCTCTCATTTTTATTTTCGTTTCGTTTCTTTTTATTTTTGTTTTTGTCTTTGCTCACTTGGCTTTCTCCCTTGGGGAATTGCACGAGCTTATTGTCCTTTTCGGCCGCATATTAGCCGTTGCCGGAATTTTGCCATTGTTGTTGCTTAGCCAGCAAGGATTCGGCAAGGAGGAGGTGCCGTGCCGGTGTGCATTGCCATTTGACTAATTGGAAAATTTATAGTAAACCAAGAGGCAGGTATATATTTTTAAGTACATTTTTCAACAAAGTTTGTAAACATTTTTAAGATAAAAACACAAAGTATTAGACCCTAAAAATTGATTGAATGTGGAATTTTGCACTAAATAAAGGTTTATTAAATTTATTTAGAATTTATTGTATTTCTACATTAGGATTTTGTATTTATTTTTTTTCTGTTTTTTAAAAGAAGGTTCATCCAAGAAAATTATAAAAAATTATTGAAATATCAGTTTAAACTTTTATAAATTATGTAAATTAAATTAATTAGTTAACTTACATTTCAGTAAATAAATATTTAAAAAAATAAGGAAATATTTGTTTTTTATTAACAATATTTTTGTAAAAGATTTTAATATTTAAAAAATTTAAAACTTGAAATGAAAAGATTTTTCAACAAAATATATTGAATAAAATATTTTAAAGATTTTCAATTACCAAAAGATACTTTCTGAAAACCCTAATTATAAATTATATAAATTAATTTATATTTATAAACTCAACTAAGATTTTAAAATATATTTTTTTTAAATTAAATAACACCTAAATTCAGCTAATCAACGCTTGATCCTTGGACAAGTTCGTTATGCCTGGACTGTACCCACAACGAAAAACCCAACCAAATGCAAACCAAAAACCTCCCACCATTTACCATTGCCACATGGCCATTGTTCCTTCGGTGTTCCTGCCCCCCTGCCGTTATCCTGCGCTCCTCTGACACGCTCCCAAATGGTCGACGTCGCTTTGAGCCACTTGGAAATCGTTAATTTCATAATTACATGTTTCATGCACACGCTCCGTACTCCGCACTCCGCACTCCGGACTTTGGGACTCGAGACTCCAAAATGGGGTATATATGTATATATATATATGTTTGTATCTTATATATATATTCGTATATTTCGGGGCGTGTGTGAGTGGCACATAAGTGGCAGCCAGCCAGAAAGCCAACACCATTTTGGCCATAATTTAGTTTTGCCCGTCCATTAGCAGTTCAGGCCACATGATGGCGAGGCATGGGGGGGGGGGTTTTGCCTTTGTTGCAATGCCACTCAGCGGGAAATCAGCACCCAGGGGGGGACGAGAGGAGCAGGAGGGAGGACATGGACGAGGACGAAGTGGCCTCGAAGGAGCCACAACAACACAAGGCAGGGCACACACACATGAAGAAAGTTATGGGGGTTTTCTGGGGTTTAAAATAATTTTAAAATCTTAAATTAAATTAAATTAAGTCATATAAATATTAAAATAAATAAATTAATTTTATAATTAATATATTTTTAAATTTGATATATAGTTTAATTTATATTTATATTTATTTTTAGGAAATTTAAATCTCCTCTAAACCCTCTTAAAATCTTTTAAGTGCTTTTACTTCTATCAAATTATTTATAATTAACTAAAATTTTTACATTTTATATATTTTAAATATCTTATATG